AATCAAGAAGGGAATTGTATCGCTGAAGTCACTCGGAAAGAATTTTTACAGTAAGATTATCAAATTCTTAATGCAAGATTAACAGTACCCCTCTCACTGTGAGATTAGCTATTCAGTTCATAATCTAAGGTTGCCTATCGAACACTTAGTCTGAGGTTAAGAATTTAATCTACGATTAGCTATCGTGTTCTTACTGTGAGATTGACTATCCAATGTCTTAGTGTAAAATTAACTATTCATCTTTTAATCTAAGTTTTATTATTCAACTCTTGATCTAAGATTAACTATCCAGCTTTTAATCCAAGATTAACTATAGTATTCTTAGTGTAAGATTAACTAACCATCTCTTAATCTAAGCTTAACTACTCATCTCTTTGTCAGTGTTTAACTATCCAACTCTTAACATGCTCACCCTTTCAGTCGTAGGGGGTACTATTATACGACGGTCAATCCTACTATTCATCGGTAAAGAATAGTCCAAGAGTTAGCGGTGGGTGGTGTTTACTAGCTGCCTTCCCTCTAATCTATCACTTCAAAACTAGGGACGGCTAGCGCGGATAACTCTCGAGTAGTTTTGCGCGAAATTCAACAAACAAACAAACTTCTGATCTAAGACTGACTATCTAACTTGTATTGTAAGATTAACTAATTAACTCTTAAAATTAGGTTCCCATCTGATAGTCTAGGCTTAACTATCAACTCTTGTCTAACATCCTCGGTGGGTCAGCGGCAAGTCTGAGGGCTCAAAAATTGTGTTTTGATATCCGCAGTTGGCATATCACGGATAGCCCATTGTGTAGCTTTGTGTTTAACAACACAAAACAAGCAACTAGTGGCGTAAAAATAAATATTAAAGTCTTATTAATAGCAATTACCGAACTCTTATTAAAATTATAGTGTGACTCTTAGGGTAAGAAGAATTATTTATTACATTATGTAAAGATAAACATTTAGTTATTACTATAAGAAATGGTTCTGAATTTTTAGTTGCATTAATTTGCACTTCTGAAAATATCAATACAAGTTTCGTTATTAGAACAGGAAAACGATGAAAAACAATCATGTTGTCAAATTAGGAAGACAATTCTTTTAAATAATTGAATTTATATGAACATATTTAACTAATCCCTCAGGTGTGGATAACAAAAAAT